CATATGAGTATTTTTAAAAGCTGTATCTAGCTATGCATAAAAATCTAATGATAACGTCGCAGTGTCCAAGTGTTATCAGTGCGTTTTTATTGACCAGAAAAATCATACAGTAGGATCCAGTTTTTCCACATCAATTTCCATATACTTTTGGTTGTAATTAGCACAAAATAACAAAACTTATAAAGATATTGTTTTCCTATGAAATATTTCTGTATCCCTAATTCAAGGATATATTCATTTAGTTTTTCAATCTATTCCGCTTTTAAATTTTTGCATTTGAGTGTTTTCTAAATTAAGAGTTATTTCTTTATTGCAACGCAATTCTATGATACTTTATTACGCTTCATTTTAAAATAAACTGTAGCGTAACTACCACTACAATTATCCAATTCCCATTCACTAGTTTATAAGACATGTTAAATTTATTCTCTCATGAGGCTCGAAGCTCGTTGGGCTACCGAAGCGGGGGTTCGATCCTCTCTGCAGAGGATCAAAATTGTGATGGCATGTCTTCGGATCATCCTCAGGGATGTTTCCCAGACCTTCGTCAATAGCCCATTGTGCAGCATCAAGTGCGACGTAAATGAAGTACAACAACTACTCTCACGAGGCACGCTTTGATGGAAAAAGGTTGACAGTGTTGGTAGCTCATCCCAAAAAAGGTGACTTTAGTACGTGATATAAATACTCCTACTTCGACAGAAACGCCCACATTGATGTGAGCACGCCTAGTTTAATAAAAGGATCAGCGTGAATAGTTCACTTGTTATTTGTAACTACGTCATTGTCTTCCTTACCCTGTTGCTACTCTGTCTCGATGACACACAACGGGAATCTGCACATAATCAACTGCTAATTGTAACACTGGAGCAATCACACCCGCATCCGTGATCTTAATACAGCTCTCACAACCAACACTCAATATCTCGGTGATCTTAATATATTCCCCACGGTAAATCACAAAATAACAATGAATCAACTAGTAGTATCGGTTTACCAAATTCTTCACTGATAAAATTCTGGTGGGGAAATAATGTAGCGTAACAATCACTCCAATTATTCAATTTCCAATCGCTAGTTTATAATGCATGTTAAATCAATTATATCAAGAGATACCGTTTGACGATTGAGAATGTCCATAAGCCTACGCAACTTATCTTGAATCAGTGTCTAAACTTATCAAACCGTTTTATAATTATTATTTTATGGTGTAAGTTACATTAATACGCTAAAATAAATTACCGTTATAGTGATTCATTAAAGTATTTAGAAGTTAACTATGAGCTTCTTGCGCCATGCAATGCACACACAAATTGTATTTTACCTGTTTGGTAAACGAAAATATTAACTTACGGTTGATGTGTAATAAAAATAAAATTTAAAAAAAAACGTGCAAATTTTGTTAACTACAGTAAAATGATTAAAATAGAATCGATACTAATAGTAGGTCTTTTTGGCTTGTCTAATTTTATTTTATTTTATAATCATAGTTGAACAGCAGATCCAATTCTGAGTTTGCGATTTTCAATGTTCAATTCCATAGCCTTGAAATTTTGAACCTAATACAGAAGACAAGGGAACTTTTGGATCAAGCATAGGGAGTAAATAGAATTGGTGGAGGACTTTTTGGTAGAATTACATTGCATTTGCGCTACATAGAGAGGAAAATCACGAAAACCTCCCATGGTTAGCTCGATTGCAAGGAGATTCTAACCCATGCTCCATACCCATGGATGTACCACTGAAATTATTTTACGTCAGAACAGAAGTCGGGGTAAGACAGGAGCAAAATTCGTATCAACTATCTATCGATGGGATTCGAGCCTAGGCAACACCTCCTAGAAGATTGAAGACCTCAGCACGGATCAATTTAGTAGTCCGATGGGACGAAGTTAACTGCGCAGTAGATGAAAAATACGAAAGATGTCATTACGTTTGGACTACTAAAGGATATTTATGGTGACCCGTGCTGAGGCCTGCTCTTTTCTAGGAGGTGCTGGCCTAGGTCACCTAATTGGGAGACGACCGCTCCTGAGCCATCACGACTCGAGCCTTGTTTAATGGTCGAATATCTTCTTTCTGGGTAAAATATTGAAGAATGAAATCAAAAAAAATTATAAATAAAATTTAGAATTAATAAAATTTAAAATTTAGAAAACTAACGTTTCTAAAGTACAGATTTCGATGCAGGAGATAAAATTGAAGCAATGCAAACACTTCTTAAACCAGAACATGAAATTTCATTTCTATAAGGTGCTAGCGAGGCTGAAATTCTGTACACCAGTATTTCATTAAAAATAAGAACAATTTTAAAAATGTTAACAGATGTAGTATAAATAACTTTATGGCAACAATAACTATAAAAATGCGGAAAATGAAAATTCGAAACATGCTTACTTCAAAGTAATCATAACTTAAGGCAAGGATGCCATAAGGTTTCAATGGTTCCAACATTTCCCACATGTCATTAAAATAAGAAAAGTAGAAGAAATGTTCTCGTACTTGTAATCCTAACAATCCATGTTTGTATTTGGCTAAAATAACATTTGTTAAATGCAGCCCTAGAATCGGAATGTGCTCCTCACTGAACCGGTTACAGAATAGAACTAGTCACTCCAGAGTCAAGCTTTGTCACTAACAAGCCCGAATTTTTGGTCGCCAATGGTGAGAAGAAATGGCGAGAAGAAATTTCGCGCCCTGACTTATCCTTTGACACAGAATTCTTATTAAATCTATTTTTCACATTTATTTCCTTATTTTGTATTAATTTTAACAATTCATTATTATTGTCATTTTTTAATACATTTTTTCATTATTTTGTAATGATTTATGACTAAATAAATTAAAAATATTATATTTGGCATTTTAATAGCTTATGGTTCTGAAATATAGCATGGTTATGAATTACAGCCTTTTTCTTCGTTAAAGATAAAATCTTCCAAAGAATAATTCTTCAAAATTCACCAATTTGCAGTTATTTCGAAGACAAACAATTATTCATCACAGAAATTTCTTTAATTTAAGAAATCGTTATTGATAAATTTTGAATATGAATAATTTTTTATTTTTTGGATATAATACTTTAGTACAAAGATGAGTCCGATAATCAAACATACTTGTTTTAGTAATTATTACTGTCTAATTAGATACAAAAATACCAAAAAAATTTTTTGTAATTAGAGTGTCAGAAACAAAAATCCTTAAAGGAAACACAAGTGCCCCACCTGCGTCAATGGGTTATATACTACTTCTTTTACTGCACATTGAGATCAATTTTCGATTAAATATTTGATTCAAGTGTAAGCCTGCAATCTGAAACTTTCCAATAAGATTGAAGGTAATGTCATCTACAATCAACAATATTGATGATGAACTCGCCAAATAAAAGATTAATGATCGATGATATTGCTATGCAACTATTTTCAGGCAATTTCAAAAGACTACAAAGAATTCTTGAAATTGCAATGAAATTTGTCACATCCAACGAAATATCAAAGTCTTTCTCTAAAATTTTTTGTTTTCAGAAATGAATATTTCGAGATAGGCCTTTAGAATCTGTCTTTTCTTTATAACCATCCATTTATAAATTTAGATTTATACATTATCTCCACTTTAAAGAAATATTAAAAATAACAAAATCAGAGTTTTCAAACCATTTTTCGTGGCTTAAATTCTCTACGCTGGTTTCCAGACAAAAACTTTGAAAAAGAAATAAAAGTGAATTTAAAACTATTGTCATCAGATAGACATGAAATGTATGAAGAATATAGTTAGGGAACTAGAATAATTGTTACTTTTTCAAAGGGTCTATAATTCTTTTCATTTCAAAAGTTGGTTAATAAAAGATTTACTCTCTGCCATTTTTATCATAGTTTATAGATCAATGTTTTTTTTTTTATCAAAGATGGGAGTATCTGAGATAATGTCATTTTTTCATAAATATGTTAATTTGTTTCCGATTTTATATTTTGTAACTATATATGTATATATAGTTACAAAATGTAATTTTTTTGTAACTATATATATATATATATATATATATACAGTCAAACCCCGCTATAGTGAACACGGTGTATAGTGAACTCCCGGATATAGTGAACAAAATGTTTGGTCCCGTGCCTTGCTATACACGCATAATGTTATTTTTTGTGGATATAGTGAACCAAAAAAGTGAGGAAGTTGGATATAATGAACTTTTTTCTGTCTTCGACTGATTTTTTTTTGTAATAATTTTGAAATTTCTTCTTCAAAATAAATACATATACCGATTTTTAAAACCATCTATAGAGGGGAATATAGTGATAAGCATTTTTTCTTGTTTACTACTTTTATCTCACTTTCCTATCCCTAAACAAACCAAGCAGATGTTTCCAAGCCATGCAGATTTCTGTCAGATGGAATGAGTAATTATTCCTTATTCGTCAAAGGGTTGGAAACTAATATGTGTTGATAAGGCCCTCATTCAACTCCTTTTTGCTCTCAGTTCAGAGAAGCCGCAATTTTCCAGTATCTGGACAAATGTCGATGAATTTGCTAAGTGATTTTATGAGACTACGTTTATGTGCTCGAATGGCAAGTTAGACATGTTTAAAAAACGGAATAACAGAAATTCAGGAAAAATTGTCTGAGAGTTGGGAAGTGTTTCCATATCTGATGTTGAGGATTGCTCATCAGCTAGAGATTACTAATTTTTTTTTGTACGCAAGACGAAGAGTAATGAAAAATAATACATTTTTTGCTACTACATGATATTTTTCAGTCATTTATTTAAATAATGTGCAATAAAAGAGAGGAGTTTGGGAACCATTAGTTAAATTGTCTGCGGAACGGATATAGTGAACACCCGGTTACAGTGAACCGAAATTTCGGTCCCTTGATGGTTCACTATAGCGGGGTTTGACTGTATATATATTATGAGATACGCTCAAAATGAGAGTATGTGATCATACATATGTATGAGGAATGTAATGAAATTTTTGTAAGAAAAAAAAAAGACTTACGATTATTTGGAATCTTTGGATGACTGCTTTCAAGAAGTTGAAATAAAGACTTTTCAGTATCTTCATCAGCCTTAAATGTTGATGTATAATTGGAAATATTTTGAGACTTGGGATTATTTATTCCATAAAGTCTTGTAGAAGTAATGTAATTTGAAAGATTTTCAAAAGTGTTTGGCCTATTACTTTCATGAAGTTGAACTGAAACATTTTCATTATTCTCATGCGTCTGTAAATGGGAATTATAGTTGGAATCTAATACCATGTAATCTTCTAAATATTCGTAACCATTATTTGTAGACTTTGAAGGAATATTTGAGGTCGTCGAATCGTTACCTTTGCCAAGTGGAATTGAAATATCTTCGCCATCTTCATAAATATTCAAATATGAATTATTTTGCAAAACCAAATCTTTTTCTAAATATCTGCGGTTAACAATCTTTTCATTGCTGCCATAGATAGCTCCAGGTACTGCCTTATTCGTTGCATCGCCTATGACAGTTTTCCTTCGATAGTTCGTATTTTGATTGGGTATAGCTTTTTTCTTACTCTTGCTAAGCTGATGAGATCTAGTTTCACCAGAATGATCTCCGCTTTTATCTAAACGATCTTCAAGAGCGTCCTCGATTTTTTTAAGTGCTTTTCCGGATAAAGCTTTGCCTCCTGAAAAAAAAATTTATTTTAGAGGATGTGATAAACTTAAATTACTATCAACTAATCACGAGATATCTCATTTTCACTTTCATTGAGGTAGTCTCATCAATTAGTTTTCGAGATTAGTTCAGTGTCCCGGGATTGTCAGATTTTAGCTGTTCGCTAGGCTGTTCTTTGAAGGCAATATTATAATTAAAAAAGCGTGACGTATATTTGAAAATTTTTCATGAAAAATAGATTATGTTTTTGTAAATATTTAGCCAGCCTTTGTGCTTTGTGCTAATTGTGCCTTTTGTGCTAATTGTAAAAAAGAATTAAAAGTGAAAAAAGCCATAGCATTTACGGTTTAATTAATTAATGTTGGAAAAATTAAGCATGGTTTGGGCAAATACAAATGAGAATACTAAAAATAATTCATTTATTTTTACAATTTTCATTTAAGTGAACAAATCTCGGCAAATTTTGAAAAAAATACTAAACATAAATCAAAAAGAAAGAACAGTTAATGCCCATTTTTTCAAAAATGACGGTTGGACCATCATTTGTCACATTTTGAGGATTACTTAGTTTTTGAAAAATCAACAAAGAGGGAAATCGGTTGACCCCGAGAGACATTAACAAGTGTAGATGGGCTGGCTGGCTGGCTGTTCTGAAGAAAAAACATCGCTGTTTGCCTTGAAATTTATAGTTTATTAGAATTAGCTTTCATGGATAAAATCCTTTCTATCCCCTTCATATTCCATTAGTTTTAATTTTTAATTATTTTTTTAAATATTAATGATGTTTTTCGAAGGTTTTTTTTTTCAAGGAAAATTAAAAAACAGCCACAGTTTAAATGCCTACATTTGAGAAAAAGTTATTATTTAAAGCTATATCATACCGTAAAAAATTATTTGGCATTTGCAACGGACATATTAATTTAATACTTTAAAAGTTTTTAAACTTATTTAAAGAATTTGCCAGTTTTTTCAATTGGATGAAAATTGTCGAGCTCAATAAGCAATTCTCAATTTTCGCAAACTTTTTATAATGCTGTATTGGACTAGCTTTTTAAATAATAATTAAACTTTGCAAACACAAGCGTGTTTTATTGTCACAAAACTGTGGAGTTTGTTATAAACTTGATTGGAAGAAAAGTTATTAAGCCTAACCACGTGATTCAAATCAGATTAAAGTCGCTACCTATAAGCGACGCCAAACGTGTGTGTCGAACCTGATTGGCTACTGAAGATGAAAAAGAAAACAAAAAACAGATTTACGGATTACTCTGAAAAACTTTTGATCTAAAGACTTTTCCCTAAAAAACTTTTGATGTTACAGGATGCAGTTTTAATGGTTTGAGGAGGAAGTATGCTAATTAATTAGTGCAGATGATATTTAAACTTACGAAATCGGACAAAAAAACGTATTTTCTCTAAAGAAACCTCATTTTTTTAGGCGGATTATTCAGATCTCTGATTCCTAAAATATAGGAGAAATATGGTCTGGTAAATATGGTCCTCAGAGTTTCATCAGGACAGCGATCCAAAGTTTGGTTCTCTTAATATTAATTTTAACTTTTGCGTATTTCGCTATATCTTCAGAACTTATAAAGCGAATGTAAAAATGTTTGCACAAAATTTATTTATCCAAAGGCAATTTCATGCAAACATTTTACTAAATATTTATTATTTTGTTTAATATTAGTCAAAAAATTTTAAATTGTATAAGATATGAAATTTTTCGCATCATTTAGCGGAATATAATTTTGCATGGCAAGATATAAAATATTGGTTAATTAAGTCGAGCAATTCCTGTTTATTGTTTTATGATTTTGATTTATTTCTACACGAAACTATCGGTTTTCACCAAAACTTGGCCACTATTTTGAAGCATATGTCGACACTGAAATATTATTTAAACTGAATATAGATATGAATACATAGTGTGCCCTTTAATCTTACGTAGTTATCTTCCCACATAGTTTTCAAAGTTTTTTCCAAATTCCTTACAAATTTTTTATAAATATTACAAATTTTACAAATATTATATTCTAAGAGTCCAAACTTTTAGACCAATTATTCAAGCTTGTATCAGTCCTAACCTTTCCGATTACCATCTCTAATTTTTCTACTTGTCTATCATTCAGTTTTTTCTTATAATTTTTTGCGCCTATTTTTACTATTTTTTTTCTCAAAATATGTATTCAGTTCTGGACTTAATGAATCAAAATTAGCTAGTTCAATTTATTTTCACAACTCATTGTATTCGTTTGTTATGAAAAGTTAGAATTAAATAAGTATGATTTGAAATTAATAAAATTCAGCTTTAAAAAACAGGATGTACTTACTGATTATCCCTTTAGCAAAATTTCGTTGCGGGAGTTCCTCAGATTCATTTGATTCAGATGTCTTTTCAGATTCATCTGAGTTTTGTGCAGACGATGACTCATGATCTGAATTTCGTGAATGCGATTGATGAGATTCAGCCGAATTTTGAGAAGATGATTGCTGAGATTCTCCGGAAATTTGTGAAAGCAATGACTTAGATTCAGAGGAGCTTTGTGGATGTGATGACTTAGATTCCGAAGAACTTCCTGCATGTGCTGACTTGGATTCAGAAGAAATTCGTGGGTGTGGTGACTTAGATTTCGAAGAACTTTCTGCATGTGATGACTTAGATTCAGAAGAACTTTGCAGACGCGATGACTTAGATTTGGAAGAACTTCCTGGATGTGATGACTTGGATTTAGAAGAACTTCCTGGATGTGATAACTTTTCAGAAGAACTTTGTGGTTGTAATGACTTAGATTCAGAGCTTTGTGAAAGAGATGACTGAGTATCAGAAATTTGTGAAAGAGATTGTTCAGATTCAGCAGAAATTTGTGAATGAGATTGTTCAGATTCAGCAGAAATTTGTGAAAGAGATTGTTCAGATTCTGCAGAATTTTGAGAAAGAGATTGTTCAGATTCAGCAGAATTTCGAGAAGATGATTTCTTTGGCTCGTTTACATCATTAGATTGCTGTGACTCACTTGATTTTGATAGAGACGCTTCCTCAGATGCAGTTGATTCAGACCCAGCACGTTCATCAGAGCTTTTCTGATCTGATTCAGGTTGAGAGGCTACATCTGAATCTGGTTCAGGCGATGTTTCTAGGCATTGGCAGCTTTTAGTTTCAATGTTAACCTCTGTAAAACAAAATACCGGAGAGATTAGGAAAACTGTACTTAGTTAACTCATAATTTAATAAAAGCAATAAAAAAAATAATGTAAGTAATAAATAATATTAATAAAAACCAAGATTAACTGACTGAGTGATAAAACCGTTCAATAATAGGCTGCATCAAATGCGCTAATAATCTTAAATATCGGTTGTTGAAGCCGATAAGGCTTGGATACAGCATTTTCCATTTAATAACGCAGCCCAGTTTCAATCCCAGAGAGATGGTTGTTAAATTCATATACCAACCAGCAGTTCTAGCAAAACATATCATCAGTAGTAGACAGATCATGGACTAAAGTCCTTTGGCCACCAGGCTGACATAAAAAGAATTTTGTAGTTCTCATGAAATGTAACTTTAATTTTGCTCAAAAAAGTCCTCCCCAAAAGCAAATTTGTCTCCATGCTAGATCAGAAATCGTCTTTTGTGGTGGATTCAAAATTATGAGGCTGCGGAATTGAACACTCTTACTCGCAAATGTTCAATTTTGGTCAGAAAATACACTGAAGAGCCAAAAAAACTGGTACAGGTATGAGTATGAAAATAAATGGGTATGGAGCCAATCAAGGAACAGCGCTGCAATCGGCAACGCGTATACAAAACAACGAGTGTCTAGCGCAGTTCTTAGATCTGTTACTGCTGCTACAATGCCAGGTTATACAGATTTAAGTGAGTTTGAACTGGTGTTATAGTCGGCGCACGGGAGATGGGACATAGCATCTCCAAGATAGCAATGAAATTTGGATTTTCACGTACGATCATTTCACGAGTATACCGTGAGTATCGGAAATCCACCAAAATTCCCAGACCTGAACATTATTGAACATATTTGGGATGCTCAGAACGTGATGTTCAGAAGATATCCCCACCCCCTCTTACTCCCACTGGTTTATGGACAGCCCTGCAGGATTCATGGTGTCAATTATCTCCAGCACTACTTCACACATTGATCGAATCCATGCCACGTCGTATTACGGCACTTCTGCGTGCTCGCGGGGGCCCTACACGTTATTAACCAGGTATACCAGTTTTTTTGGCTCTTCAGTGTAAAATAAAGCATGACACGTTAATTCAGCTAAAAATATGAGTTTCTGTTGCCTGGTCTGAGAACATGTTTTAAGATTTAAATTACGTACTGCTATTTCCGAGTTGAATCAAATAAACAGTTATGAAAACAATGGAAGTTGACACACAAATTATTAAATGACGTAATACGTATATGAACTACAATGGTTAGAATATAAAAAATTCGCAATTTTATGATTTCAGAAGTTTGTTTCATAATATCCGAATTTAAATGAAGACAAGCTGATATTATATTTATACAAAAAAATTATCTCCCAGAAATATATTTCCGAAACCTAGATTGACAAGATTTCAAAAACTTGCTTGGCGAGATTTAAAACTTTCGTTCTTATTCATTGTAGGTGATTAAAATAATAAATTTAAGAACAAAACAAAAGATATGTATGTACTATAATTTAAAAGATGTATAATTTAGTAATCCTACAGGTTATTAGGAATAGCAAATTAATAATTAAGCAATATAAGTTGTTCACGAAAACTATTGTTACGAATATGTGTATAATTTTTTGAATATTCTTCTGCTATAAGGCTAAATATTTGAGGAGAACCCTAAATAAACAGTTTAATTTCAAAATTTAAGAGAAAGTCGCGTAATTCTAATGTAATTTAGAGAGAAATAAACTTTTAAAGCGTTTTTTATGGAAGACTCAGTTTGGCGACATTTTTGCAGACTTGGCGATCATTTTAGCGACTATTTCGACAGCAAAATGATTGTTCTAGAAAATTTGAGCTTCGAAAGCGATAGGACTAACATTTACGGAGTTCTGCGAGAATTGTCTAGAATCACGCGGGGTTTCCTTGCGAAACCATAATAGGAGCATATTGCGCAGAGAGTGGTAGAGTATTAGACTGTTTGTGACTGTAATTGCGTCCGGATATTCGAATTTCTTGTGGGTTCATTGAATTGTCAGAAGTTGTAAATCCTGTTACTACTCTGCGATTTAAGCTGAAATTGAGAACTGGAAAGAGCTGTATTTTCTAAAGGATTCAATTTTTCTAGTCTTAACTCTTTAAGGACAGTTTTATTAATTTTCAATTAAGACGAACCTCTGTGATTGGTGAACACTTAATAACAACTCATCCCAGATAGCAAAATAAGGATTATTTTCACTCAGCAAAAATATTTTAATGTAAACATAAAAAGGTTTATTATGCGGTTTACATGTAAACCTTCGAATCTTAAAACGAGATCTGTGACATCCGGCCGGTCTGTGTAGGGGCAGGGAACTGTCCTTGCATCAGAAAGGTCCTGGGTTCGAATCCTGGGCAAGGCAGGGATGTTTCTTTCTCTCTCTGTGTGTTCTATGTCCTTTCTCCTTTGTGTGTGAATGTGGCCCGCCCTATAAACGGGTTGCGGTTGTGTGAATAGCGTGTCAAAAGTCCACTTCCTGGCCATAGATGGCGCCACTGAAAAACAGTAACAATCGCACCCCCACTGCCTAAAATAGGCATACGACAAATAAAAGATCTGTGACACTCTGCTCTATTCTACTCACTTTACAATAATCCAAAACCTTGGACATCAACCTTCTATATAAAAACCTTAAATCGAGGTTGACCTATGGTTTTCAAGCGTGAAAAAGTCCTTTAATAAAACTAGTCTCAAGGTGGAACTAATTTTAAATCTAGGAAATTATAAGGTTTCTTTTCGTGACATCTTGTGTGCTCAGTTAAAATCCACCGAGCCATGAAATTTTAATCGACAATGCAATTTGATCCTATTGCTAGTGTGACGTCAGCTTAAAACGTCATTATGGACCAAAGTGACCATTTTCCTTAAGTGACAATACTTTTTTTAAAAAAAAACTTTCATAATTCTTAATCCTCTTAAGAGAAAGGGTTTGAAACTGCAATATTTTTGCTTTACTTAAAAAGAGAAGGTTCTTAGTACAAACATTTTTATGACAACAAAAAGATAATTTTGACACATGGTTACCGTAAGGTTACATGCTTTCTGGGATATTGTTTCGCGTGTACTACTTCACAGCTATTGAGCCTGATTTATATCATGGAAATATAGCATTGAACAATAACATTTATAATAAAATTAAAAAATGTCTTTTAAATATGGATAAGAAGGAACTTGCCTTTTACTCGAAATGTTTTAGTGTCTATTGGTTTAGACGCACCAAAATCATTTTTTGTCTTCACTCTCAACTTGAATTCTACTCCTGGTTGGGCATCCTTGCAGATATACCACGATTCTCGAGTTTTTCCCATGTATATCCATTTTGGTTTGCTACTTCCTGATACTTTATAGTATATTTTATAGAAACCACCAGCCCCGAGGTATTTTGGCGTATTCCACAACAGTAGAACTTTGTTCGATCGTTCTAGATACTCCAATCTAAGGTTTTCGACGCTGTCGGGAGATTCTAATAAAAATCGAAAGCATTAAAGATGTGTGTTGCGACAGAAAAAAAAATTATGAAACTGAAGTTAATTCCATGAAAATATTAATTAATAATCATTTATAGTTTTCCTTTGAATTTTTATTTGTGATAGTCGCTAAAAATTTAAGGTATACAAATTTTACATAGTTAAAAAAAATTTCATTTCAATGGTAAAATACGAAGTTTGTGCGAAATCGGACCAATAGTCTATGACAAATCTCATCTAAAATATACGACTTTGTTTTGTAACTGTTTGGAATCGTATTTTTCAGATTGTGACTAACCTTTCATATTTTGAGGTCAAGATTCTGAATTCCTCAAATAAAAATAAGTTTATTCAGATTAAGTACGTATTTTTTTGAAACTTCGTAACTACAAATATCGTCTGCACGAACTAACAAGCAAATTAGAAGTTAGGCATTTGAACCATTGAGTTCGTGAAATTACATCTTAATGCGTGAAAATTAGATCAAAAGTTATTCGAAGTGTTCCGCTCTTTTTTTTCTCCAGCTCACTGCGTATTCAATAAATAAGTACAAAGCGGAAAAAACCAGAAAATCTCTTGATTTAATGATAAGATCTTCATGTATTTGGACTCAATCCCAATGGTTCGAGAGGATGATCACAAATATACTAATTAGTTAATGCAGTCGATATTTAAGCTACGAAATCAGATACATAAACATTTGTTTTGTATTTGTTTGTAACACACTTTTTTTGTTGCTGACGGATTTGAATTTCTGACCCCCAAAATCATTCAAAGAACAACAATTTAAAATTCGATTTCTCAGAAACTATTCGATTGATTAGTTCAAATTTTGTCTTTTGCCATATAAAATAACATACGTTAAAATATTGTAAAAACTTGTATATCTTGCGATTCAAAAGTTTTCTGACTATTATTAAATAAAATACTAACTAATTATTAAAGATTATTTTTTGCATGGAATTATCGATGAATAAATAAATTTTACAATTGTATGCAATACTTTTTAGATTCACTCAAAAATTTCTCGAGATATAACAAAAAACCCAATTAGTAAAATGAGCAGTAAAGTGTTCAAATTTTCGATCGCTCTCCTGACAAAACTATTGGGACTATATATTCCAGGTTGCGGCTACCCCCTATATTTTGAGTATCAGAAATCCAAATTGAAAGAAGGTATGTCTATTAAGAGAAAGTATGTTTTTTTGTCTGATTTCGTAACTTAAAATAACGTCTATACTCACTCAAATATTTAGGGTCAGCCCCACGAACCATTAAGATTGAGTTCTAGTACTTCAAAATTCAATCATTAGACCAAAAGTTATTCAGTGTAGTTAGTTTTTTTACGCACTGTACTTGTTGCTTCGCAATCACCGCCCTAAATTCAATGTGCTTAAAATAAAACAGAGTAATGAGAGGCTCTTAACTTTGGTTCTTCTAAATGGATTCCATCGAAACTTCAAATCTATCATGCAACCGAGGTTTCAGTCTAGAAAGTCGTTCAGAATTTTGCCATCAGGTGGCGCTATAAAGCTAGTAAAAAAGATGATAGCCCAAAAATGATTTAACCTAATTCATAATTGCACACACGTGCGCTTTCTATGTGCATGCCTTATCGTTAAATTGTATGTATACGGTTGCATTTATTCTTAATATACATATGAATTCAGTAGTACCCTACGATTAGAGGATACAACTTTAAATATTGGCGAAATTTCCAATTATCGTATTTAAAGAGAGAGCAATCTTATGATCTGTTCTATGTATATTTGAATTTTTATTCGGTAACGTTCAGTGGAACTAGAGCTAAGAACATCTGAATTTCGTAACTTAATCCACTTAGTCCATATTTTTGGACTCATTGTTAATTATGAAGATAAAAGAAAACATGCCTATTGGGAACTCAAATAAATATTTTATTGTAGAAAAAATAATCGAAATTTGAGAAATATTTGGAAGGGAAATCTTTAACAAATCTATAATAAAATATTAAAACCTGTTTGATTGAAACATTTCTTATAACTCTTTTTAAACTTCCCGCAGTTTTCTCTTACAACTATACGAGTAAACAGTTTTTGATGTCTGATACGACCCTCAACAGTAATTTGTTAGTTTATGGTAGCGTTCCCCCCCCCCCCCCCCATGAAAAATCACTTTACGACGCATAATCTGAAGAGTGTTTGTCTTCATTTTAGACAAGGATTCCTGAAATATATATTAAGGGTGGCAATTTCGGATCACCCTGCATATTTAATTAGTTGCTTTGATTTTAACCATTTCTGAATTTTTTGACATCTAAATTTAATCTGCTGTAATAAACTTTAGTTATCTAAATGGCTCTACCGACATAACAAAATAATCAATTGAATTACATGTTAATTTTCAACTTAATTGTTCTAGTTACCCTGACAACTAAAGTATAAGAAACATCATATGGAATTTAAAGTTGTTTTTATTTTATGTTTGGATTTCTTTTGAACGTAAAAAGGTCTGTAATTTGTTTTTGCACAATATCGGTGCAAATCTTTTGCGGGTATTTTATTATGAAGTTTTAAATGCTTTTTGGAATATTTCCAGTTTTCCTGTTATATATATACGAGNATGATTTTATAATCCAAAATCGCGATTCATATTCACGCGATTTTAAAATCCAACCGCACGATTCATATTCAATTTCCCACAGCCCAGGATACTTTTCGTTGATTTCTGCGTGCAGCCAAAATTTCTGATAACCCTTTTTAAATTTCACCTTCAGTTCCTCGTTGTTGCTGAGCTCAAGTAGCTCCATGAACCATGGTGGTATTTCCATCGTCTGAATATCTTCAAATCTATTTTTGAAGTCATCATGCAGGGTATTTAAATGCGAGCGGGCGCACGGGCGGCACTTGCAAGTCGCGACATGTGGTGTACACTTGTACTGTTATCTATTGTTCGATTCAATTCTGTGTTTGAACTGAGTCTCGAATATTTTTGAGTACCTACCTAGTGAATAATGCTACCTGCCTACATAGATAGGTAAATCCAAGTCAAAATTTTTGTTCTTTATTATGAAAACCAGAAAATTTTTCGTGGACCCCCACTTACAACTTGTGAACCCCTGTTTTCCCTTCATGTCTACGTGGACCCCCGTGTGGTCTCCTATGGACCCCTGGGGGTCCACCTGGACCACTTTGGGAACCTATGCGCTATAATAATATAAAAATTTCTACACCTAACGATACAACGAAGTTTCCTGACTATTTCTCTTGCGGGTATTTTCTTATGAAGTTTTAAATGCTGTTTGGAATATTTCCAGTTTCTGCTCGGTATTCTAATCGGTTTCACGTCAGGTAATTATTTTATATATTGTTGTTATATATTGTTATCAGGTAATTATTTTATATTTTTTTACTAAAGCAAACAATTTTCTTCTACCTCCCTTTTCAGAAAATTTGACAACTCTACAGCAAAGTGCTAGGTTTAAAGCTAGAGTTATTTAACCCTACCATTATTTATTAGCTATTAAATAGAGCATGGGTTATTTATATAAAAATTTGAAGGTTTAATCTAAATTTAGTTTCTTTTACCACATAATAAATTTTATTTTTGACGTAGTAAACACTCCTTTTTGAAAGTAATTTTTAAAAAACTAAATATGTCACTGTTTCCTTACTTCAAAAGATAAACAATTTTAAAATTGCATAGTAATAAGCTTTATTAGAAATATTAAAACACATTGCTGCAAGCCAAAGCATGATAGTTGCAAAAGACATTGTTAAATCTAATTCACTAGTTAGCATTGTTTAATCAATGACTAAGGAATTGTTAAAAAGATCCTATGAATTCTATGTATATCTTCTGAATTCGAAGTATGACATTGTATTTAAAACAATGTTTTATGATACGTTGGAAACTTTATCATGAAACAATGCTTCTATGAAAAAAAGGCATTTCGCTCCGTTTTTTAAATATTTATTTAGGACTACAATTTTCAGGATAAAATGTTACGATTTGGAAAAACAAATTGATCTAAATTTGATAAAAATTCCACTGTTCAACTTTCTTTAATAATAATAATAATAAATATAAATATATATATATATATTAAGAAATACTCACTTCCTTCTTTACTGCCTAGCCCTAAAATAAAATAACATAAATTATATGTATTTGAGATTCATCCTTATACAAAACATTTAAAACTACAAATTCAATTTTTTTTAAAAATTAGGTACATAAGATAACTGAAGATAAACCTCGAAAATCTCAAGACTGTTTAACTAGTAACTTAGTTTATGTACAGTACCAAAAATAAACGGTCAACCCGGAATAACTTTGGATCTAATGATCGGATCTTCAAGTTCTAGGACTCAATCTTAATGGTCCAAGGAGGTGATCTCAAATATGCTAATTAATAAATGCAGATGATATTTTAAGTAACGAAATTAGACACAAAAAAGTACTTTCTCTGAATAAGCATACCTTTTGTTTCGCCTTATACGGATTTCTGAACCTAAAAATATAGGGGGTAGCCGCAATCTTGGAAATATGGTCCCAATAGTTGGGTCAGGAGAGCACTCCAAAGTCTGGACCCCTTAAAGTTAATTTCACTTAATGTTAATTTCACTTTTTGCATATTTCACTATATCTCGAGAACTCTAAGCGAATTGAAGAATTTTTGCAAACAATTATGAAGTTCATTTGTTCAGAGATAATTCCATGCAAAAAATAAATTTCAGTAAATATTTGTTATTTTTTTTATTTACTTAATAATGGTCGAAAAAATTTTGGATTGTAATTAATTAGAATATTTGAGGTCACTCCCTCGTACCTTTAAGATCGCGTCTTAAAACGTGAAGATCCGATCATTGGATCAATAGTTATTCAGGGTGGTCCGTTTTTTATTTTGTGCACTGTAAAATAGATTTCAATGGAGACAATACATAAGTTTTTACGAAAAACATGTACCGTAAAATTTGATGACATTGTACCCGTCGTACACCTTTTTTAAAATTATATAGTATTTAGCAATAACTGGAAAAGAGAAAATAGTTTCAAGAATAATCGTAATAACCAGTCGTTAAATAAATATTAAATTTAAAAACAACTCTCTTTGTCGGGATAATTTTCTGGTCTGTGTTAATCTTGAGAAATTTTCACTTGATTATATTTATTTGGAGGTCTTACGTACATCAATATTCTGGATTTATATTTATATTCCAATTTAAAAAGTCTCTAAATACTGTAATAAAAAGCGCTTTTTTAATAAAACAACTAGAGAATGATGTTAAAATCTGGTTAGCGTATCTTAAGCCCAAATTCAACTGAATTGATCATAAATGAAATCATGCATGCTTACCTCTTTCAATGTCATCTTCAGCTGAAAAAATGAGAAGTAAAAGATATAGTCAAAAGAATAAACTCAATTTATATTAATCATTTTGTATTCACTGCATAAAAAATAACAAAAATTTGTGTTAAACTGTTCATGCTTCCTTGCTACAATATCACCTTCAACAATGCGTACAACATTAATGTTTAAACGAAGATAGATTTCTAAATAATAAAATGAATGAACGACAAACATACTAAATTATCCTAACATATCTTAGACAGAAAATCAAATCATTTCATAAGAGAGAAATTATGCAAACTTACCACTTACATCTGCTATTTGTAAATATTACAAGATAGACTTATAACATACAGTTAATGAACTTAACTTAATTTATATTAAATATTTTGAATGAAGTATTCATTGCATACAAAAATAATACAAAATATGTATAAACTGTTCATACTCACTTGCTACAATTTCCTCTTCATCTGTGTGTGCAACATCTATATTTATATCATGATCTAGTCCAGAATAATTAAAAATGTGAGCGACAAACGAAATAAAATGTCTTGTTAACATAAAACCCGATATCAATTAAATTGATGTGAGAGAAATCAAGCATACTTACCTCCATCACTATCACCTTCAGCTGCTATTTGTAAAAACAAAATACATTAGATAAAGTCTGTAAGTTAAACTCAATTTATATTACATATTTTGTATAAAGTATTCATTGCATATAAAAAAAATCCATGTTAATCTATTCTCACTCACTTGTTTTAGTTTCCCCTTCATCACTGTGCTTAACATCTGAATTTGTACCAAGCTCCCTTCCTAAATCATAGAATAGATAAACGAGAAACATCGCAAAATATATTGTTAACGTATACGCACAAAATCAATTCAATTGATGTGAGAGAAACCATGCATATTTACCTCCTTCAATATCACCTTCAACTGCTATTTGTAAAAACAAAACACATCAGATAAAGTCTGTAAGTTTAGCTTAATTTATATTACATATTTTGCATAAAGTATTCATCGCATATAAATATAATAAAAAATCCTTGTTAATCTATTCACACTCACATGTTTCAGTTTCCCCTTCATCTGTGTGTTCAACATCTGAATTTGTACCAAGCTCCCTTCCTAAATCATACAATATATAAACGAGAAACATCGCAAAATATACAGGGTGTTTATAAAGACCCGGACCCTTTTTGATGTTTAATAACTCATAAAATAATAAAGATAGATTAAAATTAATAACATAAATGGTTAGATAGACTCAAAAAGTTTCATGACCCTTGTCAATGAACTTAAACGTGTGCCCCCTTCGTCGCACGGAGAATATCAAGTCGATAGTCAATTTCACGCCCGGTAGCGGCAAGCGTTATGAGTTATTAAACACCAAAATGGGTGTTTCTGGCATTGTTAATCGCCATAATGTGAGCATATGGGGATCTGAAAACTCCCATGAATACCGTGAGAGACAAAAGGATTTCCCAAAGGTTAATGTGTGGTGTGGATTAATGCACGACCGAGTCATTGGGCCTTTCTTTTTTACAGAAAAGACAGTCTCATCAGTCGTATACTTAGACATGTTGGAAAACTTCCTATTTCCACAACTAGAAGAGCTTCAGCCACATCTCTTTTTGCAACAAGATGGTGCCCCACTTCATTGGGGTATCATCGTTCGTAGTTCTTTGAATGATCATTTTCCAGGAGGATGGATTGGGCGAGGAGGATCAATTCCTTGGCCACTCAGATCACCTAAAATAACGCCACTGGACTGTTTTTTTTTGGGGGGATTTATAAAGGACAATATTTACAGGAGGATCGTGTCGAACATTGATCACCTAAAGGTCAGAATTACAACCGCAATAGCCTCTGTGGATGCCGACATGCTTGCCGCTACTTGAGGTGAAATTGACTATCGACTTGATATTCTCCGTGCGACGAAGGGGGTGCACGTGGAAGTTTATTGACAAGGGTCATGAAACTTTTTGAGTCCATCTAACCATTTATGTTATTAATTTTAATCTATCCTTATTATTTTATGAGTTATTAAACATCAAAATGGGTCCGGGACTTTATAAACACCCTGTATTTTTAACGCATAAGCACGATATTATATCAATTGATGTAAGAGAAACCATGCATACTTACCTCCTTCAATATCACCTTCAGCTGCTATTTGTAAAAACAAAATATTTGAGATATAGTCGGTAAGTTTAACTTAATTTATAATACATATTTTATATAAAGTGTTCATTGCATATAAATATAATAGAAAGTCTATGTTAATCTATTCCCACTCACTTGTTTTGGTTTCCCCTTCATCTGTGTGACTAACATCTAAATCTGTAGCAAGCTCTCTTCCTAAGTAATAGAATATATAAACGAGAAACATCGTGAAATATATTGTTAACTTATAAGCACAAAATCAATTCAATTGATATACAAGAAACATGCATATTTACCTCCTTCAATATCACCTTCAGCTTTTATATGTAAAAATAAAATGCATTAGATATAGTCAATAAATTTAACAAAAATTATATTAAATATTTTGCAATATCTATAATCTGCATTCTTTTTGAATAAAAAAATCTGTGCAAATAATCTGTTCATACTTACTCGCTTGAGTTTCACCTTCATCTGTGTGGCCAACATCTCTATTTACATCAATATCTATTCCATAATCATAAAACATATGAACGAGAAACATCGTATAATATACTGTTAACATATTGTAAGAGTGATGGAAAAATAATGGTAACTTTAGCAATAAAAAAGGCAGTACAGCAAAATCGATTGGCGATCGTAACGAACTACAGTGGGCGTTGTTATATAAGACGAATACCTGCGATTTCTATATGAACAGTCATTCAGTTACTCTGGAGACGTCTTTAATGTAGCGTGTAGCATTGTAACCTTCCTTCTTTATGGTAGCTTATTAAGTTTAAAAAGGAAAAATGTTTGATATTCTTTCTTATGCAAGCGAAAACAGAATGGTATCTCTTTTTTTTAGAGATGGAACATCCAAAACACATCGAAAAATATTTGTAAGTAAACAGAAGAAAATATGTATCTTCTTATTACAGTTAAAACCTCATGCCTGAGAAATAGTTTTACTAAATTTAATGACATAACATGAAGGACCTATTTAAACTCTACATTCTATGGTTTTAAGAATCATATTACTTCAAGCATTAAAATAAGCAAAAAGTATACATAAGCCTCATAATTTTATGTAACTTAATTCTGTAAAACAAGTTTTTTGACAACAATTTTTATCAAAAAATTTTTAAGTTTCAATAAAAATCATTATTAAGAAACTAAAAAACGTAAAATAAAGAATTTTTACAAAAAAAAAACCAAAACAATTTCTCACACTTAAATAAAAAACGTTCTTGTTTTTTTTTTAAATTCATAATCGTACGTAGAAAACCATTCTATAGAAAATTATCATCAAATACGAAAAAAAATTATTTACAAGTAAAATTTTTTATTTTATAAATTATAACTCTTTCCTGCTTTATAAATCCAGAGAATTTGTAAATGTTCTTCATGTGAAAACTTTATTTTCAAGTAATATATACACAGATTATCCCTTCATTACTTTAAGATGACATACCACACAATAAAATTTTATAATTGCGAGATCTCGATATGAAATTCAGTATGTAACTTAAACGCAAAATAGCTGAATACTTGTTGAATTTTTGGTACTACGTACTAACGCCACCGAAGCAGAAGTTGCTCTAATGCGGCAATATAGAGCAATCCTGTTGTTCGCACACAGTTAACTTTTGGATTTCCTGTTACCTTGTTGTTTGCTGATTTTTGACGCCATTATTTAGTGCTTCGAAAATGCGTCTTTGAGTTTTTCCAAAAAACAGAACAACATGCAATTTTATTTTTTCAGGAGCGAAATATTTTACAAAAGCAACGAAAATGTACCAATTCCCATGACATGAAACTTTATCTTGATAAACGTACGCTTTGGAAATGCTATTTCATTTGGAATCTTATTTACCAGAGCTCCTATGGCGATAGCATCAGGTGAAAGAAAATAGAGATTGCTTTGAATGTTAAACTCTATATCGGCCCATTTTTCACCGTAATCCGATTGACTACTTGGATTTTAAATAAGATGTTTTGAATTTGAAGTGTTTAAATTGTGTGAATTCTAAATAAGTTGTTTGAAGTGTTTAAATTGTGTGAATTTTAAATAAGTTGTTTGAAGTGTTTTGATTTTAAATGAAGAGTTTTAGGATTTGTCGCAAAAATTTTTGGTGTTGATTGGCAGCCCTTAAAAACCGCCAAATCTGTAGCTGCGGTGGCGTTAATACATAAGTATCGAATTTTTATTCCATACTTTTCTGAATCATATTACTTCAAACATTAGAATATGCAAGAAGTATACATAAACACATAATTTTATATAATTTAATTTAAAATTAATTTTTTTTTATCAAAAATTATAAACTAAAAACCGTAAAATATAGAATTCTTAGGATAAAAAGACGTTGTTGTTTTAACTTCAGAAAAAGAGCGAAAATTTAAAGAGATTGAAAGAGCTGGAAAAAAAAAGGTAAAGCAGAAAGTATGACGAAGAGAAAAAATTTGCTTAAAACGATAAAAAAGCTTCAGAAATATGGAGGAAAAGAGAAAACAAAAAAGAGATATTATAATAATAATAAAAACATCATCGGATTAGACAACAAAAAACATTCATAATTTCGAACAGACTATAAAACTGTGAGAAAAAAAAGGAAAAAAAAAATTTTTAAATTCTTTATTCAACCATATTTTACTTTCCATTCCACGACTGAAAAAAAAAGTAAAATTTTCCACGTTAACTGTGGTTATCTTTTATAATTACAAAGAAATCTTGTTTTTAGGCATTTGTGCGGCCTATGGATTCCTAACTAGCTTCAAACATTCTCAAAATTAAGTGTTCATTCACTGGAAAATTTAGTGTTTATTCCCTGGTAAGAGCTGTCCCTTCAGTTGATTATCTTATTACTTATTATTTGAACCACCAAAAGCTTTAAACAATATTATGTAAGTTATCTGAAAACATTTTCGCAATTTGCATTTAATAAAAAATATGATGACACCGTCATTTATCTAAAATTACACATTTTGAAATTTTTAGGATTTTTCTAAGGACAAGCTAAGCTTAAGTGCTCCTTCACTGGTTAGTTTACCCTATAAATTTACAATTAATCTGTTATAAATCACTCATACTTACTCTCATCTTCTTTCTTAAAAGCATGTATAACTAAAAACATAAAACGTATGAAATTAATTAATAAAAACTCCTATTGGTTTTCACGTATTTCATCTAACGAATTTGATACAGAAATCAGCTAAAATGATAAAAATCAGCTAAAATGATAATCACAAAAAAAAAAAAAAAAATTCCTACTCACTGTTTCCACTTTCATCGAAAATATCTATTCCTGAAAGGTAAAGCATTTGAAATATAAACAAATATTTTAGGTGCTATTTTTTTAAAATTTTTTTAAATATAGTCTGACTACTATTTAACGAACTTCCATTTCGTGAATTTCTCTATTTTGCTATTTTTTTTTCGAGGAGCCAAGAACATTTTGGAAATTTCATGGTAAAATAACTTCCAAATAGCTAAGTGAATTTTCTCGAACATTTCTTTAAGATCCACTTTTCCTTTTTCCCAAAACATTTCGGAGCATTTCAAACTTGTTAGCACATTTTACCAGGGAAATGACCTTGAATTGATTGTCGCAGTCATTTAATTTTAGAGAATGCGGTAAAATCCCTTTCCTTTTTCGTTTGCATTTCATACAGTAATCCATGCAAAACTCAATTTACGAAAAATCATAATAGAAATCTCATAATAGCAAAAAATCAAAGCTTCACAATATAGCTGAAAATCATAATAGCTGAAGCTGGATTCTTAGTCTGCGTGGAGAATATGGAAAATGTGGAGTACCAGGATGATATTCATTCAGAAAATCTCTAAAAACAGATGGATACAGCTAAAAGAGTACCACAAAAATAATGATGATGTACTGATTTATGATTTTCTTTCTATTGATTTTTAAGCAGCAACCACAGTAACATGAACTGAATCGGATATTTTGAACAGCGTGAAAAATAAAAACAATTCAGTAATAAATTGTTAAGAAGACGAGAAGATGAAGACGGAAATGACGAAGAAATCACGAAACCTTCATATGATAAAATGCTAAACTAATTTTAAACAATTCAATTGTAGATAATAATTTACAAGCTAAAAGTGTTTCAATTGTTATTTTAATTATGTTGAGTGTTTATGAATTTAAAACCTGATCTGTATTAAAGTAGGTATTAAAGTAAGGTAAAATAAAGTAAGGTAAAGTAATTTACCCTGTTCTCTTATTTCTTTCTGTTGCACTGATGAAGGTTGCCCTTTGAGCATCCGAAACAGTTGTCTGTATTTCATATATTTTTTGTGCTCTTAAACGTTGTTTTACCTTACTTTGTATTTCAGCACAAAGGTCGCCCTTATGTGTATTTATGATAGACTTTAACGGATCTTATTGGGTAAGCCTTATTTTTGTTTTCTATTCCATTTCTTTCATATTTGTTATTTCTGTTCCCATCAGTATTGACTACTTGTTTGATCATGTCTCAATTCAACAGATTTCACAGTCTAAGGTTAAAGAAGTTTAGGTATCTTAATCATTTGCATTTTTTACTTGATTGTAAACGCCTAAAAATTACTCCTAATTTCATTACAATTAAGACTAACCTTCCTTTTTCCAAGAAAATTAATTGCATTCTTCACAAGACTAAGTTTGCTCTCCTTAGAGCCGTCATTAATGAAACCAGGAATAAACTATCCAGTATTGAGCGAGAATTGTACCATTTACACATCAGTGTGCCTAACCTAAATTCAAATTTTGACGCAATAGAAAAATCGTCTTGGAATAGGGCAACCAAGATCTCTTCAAAGCATAGTTCAAACCTGAATAAAAAAGTTGAATAGACTCATCAAAGTGAATGATAAAAAACCTGACATTAGTTTGCCTGTTGTTAATCAAAATTCTGTTGTTAATCTCTCAAGTACCACTCTTACTGACGTTCAAATTAATGCTTTAAAACAAAACAATAATTTTGCTACTTCAACTCGACCTTCATTTCCTAAACTTATCGCTCCTATTGAAAGATCTTTTAAATTCAGTAAAATTAATGATGCTCAAAAAGATTCTATCAGACACCTTATTGCCCATACCGTAGACTTCAGCTCAAAAATTTCTAACTCCAACCTTAGCATTTCCTCTAAAGTAATTCTTAAAGATATAAAGTCCAATCCCAATTTAATCGTTACTAAAGCTGACAAAGGTGGTCAAATTGTCCTTCTTAACAAAACAGACAATTTGGAAAAATCTAAACAACTTATTCTTGATTGTCCTTATAAAGAAATTCCCAAAGATCCGAGCACTAAAGAATTAATTGTTATAAAATCAACTATTAAATCCTCTATGTTAATTCCCAATAGACTTAAGGCTGTTTTGACTCCCTCTGTTTCTCATTGCGCTAGATTTTATACTTTACCTAAGGTACATAAAGTTGGCACTCCTTTTAGACCAATTGTCTCCAACATTGGTACCTCGTCTTACAAACTCGCAAAATTTTTAGTTTCTGTCTTCTCCCCTCTCCTTGGTAATAATTCTTTCACTACCAAAAATTCCCTTGAGTTTGTTAAAGAAATTAAAAATCTAAGACCTAATGGTTATTTGATGACCTCATTTGATGCTAAATCACTGTTCACTAATGTTCCTGTTGAGGGGGCTTTGGAATGCCTAAAACTTAGACTTTCGGAATATCATTTTTCCCAATATGAGGTCACTGAATATGCTAACTTCACCCGTGTTTGTTTACAACAAAGTACTTTCGCGTTTGATAACAAATTTTACCGTATGACCAATGGTCTTGCCATGGGAAATCCTTTGAGCCCTATACTTAGTGACATCTATATGCATTATTTTGAAAGTAAACTATTCAAAATCTTAACTTTCCCCTTTTATAAAAGATACGTTGATGACAGTTTTGCTTTGTTAGAGGAAAATAATTGTAATTTAGATCAAATCCTTAATGTTATGAACAGCATTGATTCTTGCATTCAGTTCACCTTTGAATTAGAGTCTGATCAAAAACTTCCTTTCTTAGATGTGCTTGTGACTCGGAATGATAATTCATTCCATACTACTGTCTTTCGTAAACCTTTTGCTGTTTCTCTTCCCCCTCACTACAAATCCTCCCAACCAAAAACTTGCAGCTTTTCGGTCTTTTGTCTACCGTGCGGTAAATATTTGTTCTAACAATGATCTTCTTGATGCAGAATTAAATTACATCAAAGCCATTGCTCATGACAGAGGTTATTCTCCTAACATTATTGATAATATTCATAAAAACTTAACTAAACAATCACATGCCGATAAACCTTCCAAAGAATTTTCTAACAATTTAGTCATTTTACCCTATTTTCCTAAAATAAGTCGGCAAGTTGCTAATATCCTAAAGAAGTTTGATTTTAATATTATTTTCAGTCCCATTAATAAGATAAAATTTTCTAATCTCAAGCAGCCCATTGACAGTCAAAGTAGCTGGGGTATATACCAAATTAATTGCCAATGCGGCCTTTCATATATTGGCCAAACTAAGCGTGCCTTAAAGTGCCGTGTCAAGGAACATGAAGCTTATGTCAAAAAACAAGAATTTAAACGCTCATCTATTTCCCAACATTGTTGGGACTCTAATCATAATTTTAATTTTTCCTCTTCTAAAATCATTCAAAATTGTTCTTCAATATTTGATTTAGATTTTTACGAGTCTTATCAGCTGCTGTAGTCTTGCTGTAGGGGTTGCACCCATTTAGGAATCAGTAGAAGGTTTGCATAGCTGAGGAGAGGTGACCTGTTTTTTGTGATGACGCACCCTGGTGAGTGATTCCTAGATTCTTACCCCTTTGTATTAATGTATTGTAATAATGTAACCAAGAATATTTCTATAATTAAAATTTAACTTTAAATATGAGTTTTCTAATTTTAACTACAATTAACATAATTCCTATCAAGGTGATACCATCAAGTGTATCAGTATTTATTTCTGATCTGTATTGTTTAAGTAATTCAAATGGTGATTTTCTATCTAACAAATTTTCCATATAACTAACTTTTTATCAGGGTTTTACCAACTTCGTTTAATAGAGGTCCATAAATTTAATTTTACTTGAATAAGATTGAAATAAATTATTCAAACTTACTATTTCCATCTTTGTCATAGGTTTCTATCACTAAATAACGTAAAAAGTATTATTATTACAAAAAAAAAACAATTTATGTAAAATATTTTATGTAATGCATTTCATTCATTAAATAACTAAGCTCAATATGTGATAAGTCAGTTATACTCACTCTTCCCTATATTGTAAAGGATTTCTATTCCTAGATAATAAAAACATATAAAAGAGTATCAATAAAAACTAAAACACAATATTTAAATTTCAAAACATTTTATATTCCGCAATGTACACAACCGTACTCTTGCACAACTGTACGCAGTTGGTGGTTTAAAGCAATTATTTATACTTACGTTTTCCATGCTCATCAAAAGCTTCTATTCCTAAATTATACGAATAATGTAAATTTTAAATTCAGTAACGCGAAATTTATATAAAAAATTTTGTTTGATTCAGTTCATGCATAAATAATTATGCACGAATAATCATGTTATAAATTATTCATACTTACTCTCTCCATGTTCATCAAAAGCTATTAGTGCTGAAAGATAAAAAAAATATTATTCAACTAAACCTATATCGCAAATAATTTTGAATACTTTTTGCGCTGCATTTTATGATTAAATTTATAATTAATCAATTATAAATCATTCATACTTACTCTCATCCTCTTCACCAACGTCTTCTGTTTTTAAAGATAAAAATACATACGGGATTAAAAAGAAATTTTAAGAAGCATGTTTAGTAATTTTAAGTAAAATTATCTTGCATTGAACAACTTTGCGATCAATATGAAATATTTTTTTATTTGATTTCTTATCTTTCACATCAGCCATAGCTAGGATTTATTTTCTTTTGAGGGAGACAAAAAAATATCGTGCACAGTTATCTATTCTACTCCTCAAAAGTGATTTTGCAACACCAAGAAATAATGCACGTAGCGTCATGCAAATTTCAGGAGCGATAGTAGTGAGATGGATATGCAAATGATTAAATTTGCGCACGCATCTGATCACGTGGTACGCATATTCGGGCTATAAAGGCCAGCAACTTTCCCTTCTCATAAACGGCATCTGAGGTTTTGCGTAGCATTTGCGACTTTCGAAAAAGAGTAGAAAATGCCTCTGAGACGTCGTCGAGCTCAATACCATCAGTTAACGACCGGGGAACGTGGCAGCATTATCGAACTCCATGAACTTGGTTTGTCGCTTCGCGCAATAGCAACTCGTGTTGGGCACAACGTGAGTACCATCCAACGTTGTGTTACACGATGGATTCAGGAAGGTCTACCTGCACGCCGAAGAGGAAGCGGTGCGCACAGGTGCACGTCAGAGCGCACAGACCGGCGTATTCGCCAGTTGACTATTCGAGACTCTTTCTCCACGGCACGTGCCATCCGAAGCCGGTTGCCTTCAGAAGCAGGTGGATCTGTGTCCACCCAAACCATACGCAACAGATCGCATGAAGTACAGTTACGTGCACGGGTGCCAGCAACAGGGGTACCGTAGACCGCTTTACACAGGGCTAGACGCCTGGCATGGTGTCATCGTCATCGTACCTGGACCATCCAATGGCATCGGGTATTGTTCACGGATGAATCTCGTTTCTGTCTGTGGAGAAATGACGGCCGTCGACGGGTATGGCGGCGACCCGGAGAACGCTACGAACCCGCCCATTGCGCCGAGCGTCACAACGGTCCTACACCGGGCATCATGGTTTGGGGTGGCATAATGTTTGATCGCAGCACGCCCCTAGTACACATTCACGGCAGTTTGACAGCGGACCGCTACGTCACACAAGTTGTGTATCCCGTTGTTCTGCCCTTGTTGCAGGGCGCACCCAACGCGATATTCCAGCAAGCAATGCCGGGCCGCATGTCGCACGGCGAACTCTTAACAGCCTGACTGGATTTGACACCCTTCCCTGGCCGGCAGCCTCTCCAGATCTGAATCCCATAGAACACCTATGTGGTCTCATTGGACGTGGCATGAACATAGGACCAATGGCGCAAACCATCGATGATCTGCGCACAGCAGTGGATGTGGCTTGGCAAAGGTTACCTCAGGCAACCATCAATGGAGTCATTGATAGCATGCCTCGCCGGATTGAGGCCTGTATAGCTCCCCGAGGTGGCCACATTAGGTATTGAATAAATTACTTAATAATGATTTTATTAGTCTGTTTTTCTAATCATTTGCATATCCATCTCACTACTATCGCTCCTGAAATTTGAATAACGCTACGTGCATTATTTCTTGGTGTTGCAATTTCACTTTTGAGGAGTATTTATATAAAGGTATTATAATTATAGAATTATTAAAACGATTGATGTAAAAACGTAAAGGTTCTCATCAGATGCATTCTCTTACTACAGCGAAAGAGACATTTCAAAGTAAAGATAAATTTTTCTATGATAAAAATCAATCTTTTTAATGTGTCTATGCCTCTGAGAAATTATACAAATGTTATTTCAAATGAGTTTAGGTTGAAAGAAGAAATAAAAAAACTAAATTTGACGAAATGAAGTGAAATAAAATAAACATGTGTTAAAATAAGATATACTAATCTAGCACTTAAAAAAATGTTAGGAAGAAAAATTATAATGAATGGGCTTTTAGATATATCGTATAAAATAATGGTTGAAAAAATATATGAAGCAAATTCTAATTCGCGATCGCAGTGAACTATAGGGGCGTTGTTGTATGAGACGAATACCTGCGTTTTTTTATGAACAGTCATTCAGTTACTCTGGAGACGTCTTTAATGTAGCATGTAGCATTGTAACATTCCTTCTTTATTGTGGCTTATTAAATTTAAAAAAGAAAAATGTTTGATATTCTTTCTTATGCAAAAGAAAACAAAATGGTATCTATTTTTTTTTAGAGGAGGAACATCCCAAACACATCGGAAAAATATTTGTAAGTAAACAGAAAAAAATCTGTATCTTCTTATTAGAGTTAAAACCTAATGCATGAGAAATAATTTTATTAAATTTAATGATATAACAAGAAAGGCCCATTTAAACTTTACATTCCATAGTTTTGAGAATCATATTACTTCCAACATTAAAATGAACAAAAACTAGGACATAATGCCTCATAATTTTATATAAATCATTATCTAGAAGCTAAAAAACGTAAAAAAAAATGCTTACGAAACAAACAAAAAAAAAAAAAACAATTCTTCTTTAAAGCCATTCTTTAGTACTACGAAAATGCGTCTTTTGAATTTGCCAATAACAAAACAAGATGCAATTTTATTTTTTCAGGAGCTAAATTTTTTACCAAAAAAACAAAAATTTACCGATTCCCATGACATGAAACTTTATCTTGGTAAACGTACGTTTTGGAAATGTTATTTCATTTGGAATCTTATTTATTAGAGTTCATATGGCGACAGCATCAGGTGAAAGAAAATTGAGATTGTTTTGAATCTATGTTAAACTTTATATCGGCCAATTTTTCACTGAAATCCGATTGATGACTTTGATTTTAAATAAAGTGTTTGATTTTATGATTTGTTCGCAAAAATGCTAAGTGTAGATTGGCGGCACTTAAAAACAGCCAAATCTGTAGCGGCGGTGGCGTTAATACGTAAGTACCGAATTTTTATTCCGTACTTTTCTGAATCACATTACTTCAAGCATTAGAATATGCAAGAAGTATACATAAACACATGTTATACCATTTAATCTTTCAAAAAAAAGTATTNCCATCCCCATTTTGTAAAGGATTTCTATTCCTAAATAATAAAAACATGTAAAATATTATCAATAAACTAAAAAGCGCTTTTTAGATTTTAAAACATTTTGTATACCACACTGTACACAACCGTACTTATGCACAACTGTACGTAGTTGAGGGCTTAAAACAATTGTTTATACTTACGTATTCCATGCTCATCATAAACTTCTATTCCTAAATCATACAATTAATGTAATTCAGTAATGCGAAATTTATATAAATAATTTCGTTTGATTCATTTCATGCACAAATAGTTCTGCAAGAATAATCATGTTATTGTTCATACTTACTCTCTCCATGTTCGTTATATGCTATTATTGCTGAAAGATAAAAAAAAAATATTATTCAACTCAACTATATCGCAAATAATTTTAAATATTTTTTGCACTACATTTTATGATTAAATTTATAATTAATCTGTTATAAATCATTCATACTTACTCTCATCCTCTTCACCAACGTCTTCTGCTTTTAAAGATAAAAATACATACAGGATTAAAGACGAAATATTAGGAAAGACATTTAGTAATTTTAAGTAAAATTATCTTGTATTAAACAACTTTGCGATCAATATGAAATATTTTTTTACTCGATTTCTTATCTTCCAATTCAGCCATAGCTAGGATTTATTTTCTTTTGAAGGAGACAAAAAAATATCGTGCACAGTTATCTATATACATATTTCTAGAAAGGTATTACAATTAGAAAATTAATAAAACGATTGATGGAAAAACGTAAAGGTTCTCATCAGGATGCATTCTCTAATGACAGCGAAAGAGATATTTCAAAATAAAGATAAATTTTTCTGCGATAAAAATCACTGTTCATAATGTGTCTATGCCTCTAAAAAATTATATAAATGTTATTTTAAATGAGGTTAGGTTGAAAGATGAAATACAGGACCCAAATTTAGCTAGGATTTTCACGAAAAAACAAAAATGTACCAATTCCCATGACATGAAACTTTATCTTGGTAAACGTACGCTTTAAAAATGTTATTTCATTTGGAATCTTATTTATTAGAGTTCATATGGCGACAGCATCAAGTGAAAGAAAATAGAGATTGTTTTGAATCTATGCTAAACTGTATATTCATCCACTTTTTACCGAAATCCGATAGACTACTTTGATTTTAAATAAAGTGTTTTATTTTATGATTTGTCTCAAAAATTTTAAGTGTAGGTTGGCGGCACTTAAAAGCAGCCAAATCTGTAGCGGCGGTGGCGTTAATACGTAAGTACCGAATTTTTATTCCATTCTTTTCTGTATCATATTACTTCAAACATTAGAATATGCAAGAAGTATACATAAAAAAATAATGTTATACCAATTGATTTTTCAAAAAAAGTTTTTTGACGACAATTTTTGGTACTTTTCCATTATGCCGGCGCATGCCACGCCAAGCAAACTTTATGGTGAGTTTGCGGCGACACACAGTCACCGATACAAATCAAACGAAGCAGATTTTATCGGCCACAACACGCAGCATACACATATAAAAGCAGTTAATAAATGGTTCAAAATGTTTTTTACTTCGAAGGCATAAACATTTTAATAAAGCCTAAATTTTTTTCAAATGGGTCCTCCGTTTGCCTTCTCCACATGAATTTTGCAAGATAACTCTCGAGATGATGGCGTGCCTTTCCTCTGTGTTTCTTATTTCGCCATTTAGCGCTGCCCCTCAGTCTCTCTATTTTTTGCGTGTGCGTTCCAGTTTCCGGTTCCATAAAGTTGTACTTATGGTTCGCTTTGAAATGTTCGAAACTTTCATTTTCCAGCTTACTAGTGCTGTATGATTTCCATGAATCGGAATATATTATAGTTTCTTTTTCGATATTTTCCTTAATTGCCTTCAATAAAGTGTTCATGGATCAATTTGGCACCTCCAGAAGGAAACATTCGTTTCCCGGCTAACTCCACCGAAGATACATTGTTGTGGTAAGATCCGTTCCGCATTGTTTTTTCTCTTCGTAAACAAACTTTCGTCCACTTCGACGATCATGCCATGTCCTCTTATTTTCCATTGTTAACGTTTAAGGAAAAAAAATCACACAAACCTCACGCATGAAGTTATTCCAGTCTACAACTGTTCCATGGCTGATTTCCAACTGCTTTTCACACCATTTAACTGAAGTTAATTCTTCACTCCAACAATAAATAAACCGCATACACTTCAAAAAGCTCAATTTCGATGATCGAAGCCATGTGCCTTTACGGACACTTCTCTTATAGCGACAAGATAAAAGGTTGCAGCGCCATTGAATTTCATCTCCGATATACAACTTCATTTCATGATTCTTATCACAAGTTACGATTTCAGGCAAAACCCCTTTCTCTTGAAAGAATCTGACCACTTCTTAGTCTGTTTTGGACAAATCCCACATTTTCATTGCTTTTTGTGATTTAATTTTTCGTATTAAAAAAAAGACGTGACTGATGGGGAAAAAATAGCTGCGATTTGTTATGGAAATGTGGAGGCAAAAGATTACCAGAAGCGATTTTCCGTTTGGCGTCCGTTGCATCATTATTGGCAACTTTATCGCCTGGGCCGGTGTAATGCGCCGGTACCCAATTTTTATCAAAAAATTATAAACTAAAAAACATAAAATAAAGAATTATTGGGATAAAAAAACGATTTTAAAAATTCCTCACATTGAAATAAAAAAACTTTCATATTGTTTCTTTTTTTTATTCTTATAGTTCTTAATCAGACGTAAAAAACATTCTGTGGAGAGCTATCATCAAATAAGAAAAAAGTTATTTACAAGCAAATTTTTTATTATAAAAATTTTAACATTTACCTGCTTTATAAATCCAGAGAATTCCAAAATGAACTGTTCTTCGTTTGAAAATTTTATTCTCAAATAATATAGACATAGATTATTCCTTCATTACTTTAAGATGGCATACCATACAGCAAATTTTTTTAATTGTAAGATCTCGATATGAATTTTATTATGTAGCTTAAAAACAGAGCAGCTTAATTCTAGTTTAAATTATTCCTTCAAAACTAAAAATTACTTACCAAGAAAACGATAAAAATTTATTAATAATCAGCACAAATGATACTATTTCAAGTAATTCAGATGATTCTTTATTGTTGTTTTTCGAACTATATAGATACAGAAATATATACTATTCCATAAAGAAGAAGAATATTCTATAACTATTACAGTTCTGTACTTTCTGAATTCGCATTTATTCATTGGAGTGAAGAAAGCAATGTTGACTTCACTTTAATTTGTAATGAATTGAAGACAGAAAAATGTATTTTATCGTACTACACACGTCTGCAACAGTGTGCGATCCCGAAATCGGAAGTTATCAGTTACAAGTTAGTTGATAATAGAAGTTAAAAATTATTGAGGAATTTTTCTTCAAATATTTGGCATGTTCTGTTTCTGAAAGATATACCAATGTTCTGGAGAGTTTTTTCAAGTTCTTCGGCCTTTTCCTTAGGGAAATTTTGCTTCTAATTTGTTGCTTAGAAAATAGCGTCTGACTCTGCCAATGATTCTGATGGAACTAAATGAGAACTTAATAAATAAATGTCTGATATTTTCCGGCTCCCGCTAGAAGATATTTTAGGAACTTTTTTGGAGTTGACTTTTTAAAAGGAGTCAAGTGAAGTAAACCAGTCAAGGGAAAATACAAAATATAGGCGTGAATCCTAGAATAACCCACTCCGTGGCAATTTTTTCAAATCTCGCCAAGAAAGTTTTTGAAATCTCTCCAAACTGGGTTTCCGCAAGATATTTCGGGGAGATTATTTTGAACATCCGATCACACCACCAAAATTCTTCAACCTGATTGGTTATTTGATATGTATAACTACGCGAAAGTTGGATTTCGTTAGAAAAGGTTTTATTTTTTAGGTAAATGGGTTTATTATTTCGCCATTCATGCTTCTGATCTCTTGCTGTTAGAATAATCGTTATTATTTCATTTTTAAAAGCAAAGGTAATTTTTTTTATTCCACTAAAAATATTTTAATTTGTAATAATTTAAATTTTTCTTAATACTTCAAATGTTTTTTTTTAATAATCGAAAAGCAACGTTGATACCAGTTATAATCCCCAACTTAGCTAGATTTCAAAAAGTGGACAAGAGGCGGGCTATTCTATGATTTCACCAACCATAGATAATGTTCAGAAAGCCGAACTATCTGTCATGGGCGAAAAAAGTGAAGAAGCTTTGAACAATATCTACTAAGAAATTTCCTTTTTTCCCTGCTGTGTTTGTCTGGAAATTCGTGCAACAGATGGAATTGTTTGAGTCCATGTTTTGTTAGAAATGGAGAAAATCTTAAATATATAATTGTCATTTTTTAAAAAATAAAAACTGGATTATGACACTCAATTATAACCCTCGGTACATCTTGTAAAAAATTTATTGTGTCAAGCATTGGCACCCTTTCCTAGAATTTTAAAGTATGATATCAGAATAATGTCAAGCTTGGTGAGTTTTGTAAAAGCAAGTACATAACGTCTTATGTTGCAATTTGTTAATGTATTCAACCTTCCTGCTATAGAATTGTAAATAGAATTTATTATAAATGTTTCAGTGGCTAAATTGTAGAATCGGGGGCCCCTCTGATAATTGGTGATTTGAAAACATGCTTATGTATATACGTATGAAAAGAAACAAGGAACTAATCACATAACCATAAATAGAAATTGTGGTAACCCGATGCTGACGTCATTAAAAGCAGAGACATAGGTGGTAATAACATGGTGAGTTTCAGCAAAATCATGGGGCTCCCGATTTTACACTTTAAATGTTTCAATTAAATTTTAATGTGACACAGAATTTTAGTTAGAAATTTTAGTGAAAAGAATCAATGTTTATACATTTAATATCTTAAAATATCTAAATTACAAAATCAATACATTTTATATAGTACATATAAAAAATTCATGTTTACCATCTTCAGCTTTTATTTGTAAAAATAAAAGGCGCAATGTATAGTCAATAAATTTAGCAATATTTATATTAAATATTTTGCATGAAGTATTGTATTCATTGCATACAGAAATAATAAAAAAATCTGTATTATCTGTTCATACTAACTTAATAAATTGTAATATAATAATGAATAAATTTAACTTAATTTTTATTACATATTTCAATGAATTGTAGAAATATAACTTTTAAAAAATCATTATTCATCTATTCACTTTCTTTAATTTCTTATTCCTCTGTGTGAACATCTAAATTTACAGCAAGATTCATAGATACATTAAAAAATATATAACTATATATGAATGAAAATCATCATAAAATATCTTTTAAACATAACTTAAAGACAAAATTTATTCAACTAATGTAAGAGAAACCATGCTTACCTTCATCAGCATCACCACCTTCATCTTCTATTTGTAAAAATAAAATACATGAGATATAGTCAATAAATTTAACTCCAATTGCATTACATCTTTGCATGAAGCATACATATAAATAAAAAAATCTATGTTCATCTGTTTGCACTCATCTTCTTCAATTTCCCCTTCATTTGCGTAAACATCTTAGTTTACAGCAAGATTCATTGATAAATCATAAAATATATGAATGAGAAACATCATAAAATATCTTTTTAACATATCTTAACCACAAAATCAATTCAACTGATGTGAGAGAAATCATGCTTACCTCCTTCAACATCACCTTCAGTTTCTATTTGTAAAAATAAAATACATGAGATACAGACAATAAATATAACTCCATTTGTATCACACATTTGCATGAAGCATACAAATAAATAAAAAAAAATCTATTTTCATCTATTTGCACTCACCTTCTTCAATTTCCCCTTCATCTGTGTGAGCATCTAAATTTACAGCAAGATTCATAGATAAATCAAGAAATATATAAATATATGAATGAGAAACATTTCAAAATATCTTTTTAATATAACTTGAAGAAAAAATTTATTCAACTAATGTGAGAGAAACCATGCTTACCTTCTTCAGCATCACCTTCATCTTCCGTTTGCAAAAATAAAATACATGAGATATACTAAATAAATTTAACTCCATTTGTATTACATCTTTGCATGAAGCATACAAATATATAAAAAAATCTATGTTCATCTATTTGCACTCACCTTCGTCAATTTCCCCTTCATCTGTGTGAACATCTTAATTTTCAGCAGGATTCATTGATAAATCATAAAATATATGAATGAAAAACATCATAAAATATCTTTTTAACATATCGTAACCACAAAATCAATTCATTGATAAATCATAAAATATATAAACGAGAAACTTTGTAAAATATTTCTTAAACACATATATAAAATATATCTTAACCACAAAATCAATTCAACTGATGTGAGAGAAACCATGCTTACCTTCTTCAACATCACCTTCAGTTTCTATTTGAAAAATGAAATACATGAGATAGAGACAATTAATATAACTCCATTTGTATTACATATTTGCATGAATCATACAAATAAAAAAAATCTATGTTTATCTTTTTGCACTCACCTTCTTCAATTTCTTCTTCATGTGTGTGAACATCTAAATTTACAGCAAGGTTCATGGATAAATCATAAAATATATGAATGAAAAGCTTCATAAAATATTGTTTAACATATCGTAAAAACAAAATCAATTCAACTGATGTGATAGAAATTATGTTTACCTCCTTCACCATCACCTTCAGTTTCTATTTGTAAAAATAAATTACATGAGATAAAGTCAATTATTATAACTCCATTTGTATTACATATTTTCATGAAGCATGCAAGTAAATAAATAAATATCTATATTCATCTATTTGCACTCACCTTCTTCAACTTCTTCTTCTTCTTCATGTGTGTGAACATCTAAATTTACAACAAGGTTCATGGATAAATCATAAAATATATGAATAATAAACTTCATAAAATATCGTTTTAACATATCTTAACCACAAAATCAATTCAACTGATGTGCAAGAAACTATGCTTACCTCCATCAACAACACCTTCAGCTTCTATTTGTAAAAACAAAATACATGAGTATACAGTCAATTAATATAACTTCATCTGTAATACCTATTTGCATGAAGCATACAAATAAATAAAAAAAAATCTATGTTCATCGATTTGCACTCACCTTCTTCAATTTCTTCTTCATGTGTGTGAACATCTAAATTAACAGCAAGGTTCAGTAATAAATCATAAAATATATGAATGAGAAACTTCATAAAATATCTTAATCACAAAATCAATTCAACTGATGTGAAAGAAACCTTGTTTACCTCCATCAACATCACCTTCAGTTTCTATTTGTAAACATAAATTACATGAGATAAAGTCAATTATTATAACTCCATTTGTATTACATATTTTCATGAAGCATGCAAGTAAATAAATAAATATCTATATTCATCTATTTGCACTCACCTTCTTCATGTGTGTGAACATCTAAATTTACAACAAGGTTCATGGATAAATCATAAAATATATGAATGATAAACTTCATAAAATATCGTTTTAACATATCTTAGCCACAAAATCAACTCAACTGAAGTGAGAGAAACCATGCTTACCTCCTTCAACATCACCTTCAGTTTCTATTCGTATAAATAAAGAATGCATGAGATATAGTCAATTATTATAACTCCATCTGTAATACCTATTTGCATGAAGCATACAAATAAATAAAAAAAAATATATGTTCATCGATTTGCACTCACCTTCTTCAATTTCTTCTTCATGTGTGTGAACATCTAAATTAACAGCAAGGTTCAGTAATAAATCATAAAATATATGAATAAGAAACATTATAAAATGACGTTTTAAAATATCTTTAACCACAAAATCAACTCAACTGAAGTGAGAGAAGCCATGCTTACCTCCTTCAACATCACCTTCAGTTTCTATTCGTATAAATAAAGAATACATGAGATATAGTCAATTATTATAACTCCATTTGTATTACATATTTTCACGAAGTATACAAATAAATAAAAAAATCTATGTTCATCTATTTGCACTCACCTTCTTCAATTTCCTCTTCATGTGCGCGAACATCTAAATTTAAAGCAAGATTCATTGATTAATCATAAAATATGTGAATTAGAAACTTCATAAAATATCTTTTAAACATCTTTTATCCACGAAATCAATTCAACTGATGTGAGAGAAACCATGCTTACCTCCTTTAACATCACCTTCAGTTTCTATTTGTAAACATAAAATACATGAGATATAGTCAATTAATATAACTCCATCTGTAATACCTATTTGCATGAAGCATACAAATAAATAATAAAAAAAATACTATGTTCATCGATTTGCACTCACCTTCTTCAATTTCTTCTTCATGTGTGTGAACATCTAAATTAACAGCAAGGTTCAGTAATAAATCATAAAATATATGAATGAGAAACTTTATAAAATGCCGTTTTAAAATATCTTTAACCACAAAATCAACTCAACTGAAGTGAGAGAAGCCATGCTTACCTCCTTCTACATTACCTTCAGTTTCTATTCGTATAAATAAAGAATACATGAGATATAATCAATTATTATAACTCCATTTGTATTACATATTTTCACGAAGCATACAAATAAATTAAAAAATCTATGTTCATCTTTTTTGCACTCACCTTCTTCAATTTCCTCTTCATGTGCGCGAACATCTAAATTTAAAGCAAGATTCATTGATTAATCATAAAATATGTGAATGAGAAACTTCATAAAATATCTTTTAAACGTATTTTATCCACGAAATCAATTCAACTGATGTGAGAGAAACCATGCTTACCTCCTTTAACATCACCTTCAGTTTCTATATGTAAAAATAAAATACATGAGATATAATCAATTAATATAACTCCATTTGTATTATATATTTGCATGAAGCATACAAATAAATTTTAAAAAATCTATGTTCATCTATTTGTAATCACCTTCTTCAATTTCTTCTTCTTGTGTGTGAACATCTAAATTTGCAGCAAGGTTCATTGATTAATTATAAAATGTATGAATGATAAACTTCATAAAATATCTTTTTAACGTATCTTAACCACAAAATCAATTCAACTGATGTGAGAGAAACCATGCTTACCTCCTTCAACATCACCTTCAGTTTCTATTTTTAAAAATAAAATACATGAGATAGAGACAATTAATATAACTCCATTTGCATTACATCTTTGCATGAAGCATGCAAATAAATCAAAATAATCTATCTAAATCTATTCACACTCACTTACTTTAATTTCCTCTTCATTTGAGAGTCCAACTTTTTTATTTATAGCAAAATTCAATCTTATTCAATTTTACTTATCTTGCATATTTTGTATAACGTTTTTATTGCAAAGCAAATAAATGAATAAAAAGCATGTGTTAAGCTGTTTATACATGCTTGCTTTATTTTCACTTTCATTTGGATGTCCAACAGCTTTATTTAAACCAAGATGTATTCTTAAATAATCATTCCACAAAGAGTTTTCCCAATTTATATACTAGTGAAATGGAATTATATAATTGTAGCGGTAGTTACACTACATTGCTACCTATCAGAATTTTATCTGTTATAGAGTTCGATGAATGGATACCACTAGTTGATTCATTGTTGTTTTATGAGAAGCCTGGAGAGCTGTATTAAGATTACCGGACTTTGAGTGCTGGTCGTGAGAGCTGCATTTAGATCGTGGTCGCTCTTATGTTGCAATTAGCAATCGAGTGTGTACTGACTCCAGTTGTGTGTAATTGAGACTGAGTAGCAACAGTGTGAGAAAATCAATGACGCCGACACAGATAGCAAGATTTCAAGAATTTATTGTGCTCTATCCTTTAAATTTGGTGTGTTCATATCGAGATCGACGTTTCTCTTCAGATAGGCGGGTACGGGTCACCAATGTGGGGGCTAGAATGACGACTGTCAAACATTATCCATTAAAAGGTACCCTATGTGTTTTATTATTGTAGTGGTAGTTACACTAAAAGCCATATAATTCTTTATGACCAGATGGTGTATATATTTTGAAATTATAATTTTGACCTTAAGTGTAAAGCACTGTTAAACAGATTTTTTTTCTTGGTGAAAAAGCTTCGAAAAACACTATTAAGAGCTTACCTTCTGTAACAACACCATCAGCTGCCAATCCTATATGATGAAATACATGAAATATTATATTTAAACTCAATTAATTTTATATTTCGAAATTTCATGCAGTCCCAACTGTGCAAAAAACAACACAATAAATTTTTTTATAAATAGTTCATATTTACTTCCGCCAAGATAAGTAGTCGCACCTAAAGCTAGATCTAACCCAAAATAACGAAATGCAAGATTTGTTAAAAATTTCTCTTATGCGTGAGATCAATTTAGTTGATAAATAAGAAATCATTCACGCTTACCTTCCTTTTTTCCATCAATAGATTCTATTTGTAAATAACAAAATAAGTGAAATATTATCATTAAAAATATATTTAATATTTTAATATAATATGTATTTAAAGTATTCTATTATACAATATAAAGGAATGTAGATGAAATTATTTATACTCACTAGCGCCACTAAGATTAACCGGAACATTTAAACCTGTAATATATATAACATACATATATCTATATCTATCTATCTCTATATATATACACTGAAGAGCCAAAAAAAACTGGTATACCTGCCTAATATCGTGTAGGGCCCCCGCGAGCACGCAGAAGTACCGCAACACGACGTGGCATGGATTCGATCAATGTGTGAAGTAATGCTGGAGATAATTGACACCATGAATCCTGCAGGGCTGTCCATAAACCAGTGGGAGTAAGAGGGGGTGGGGATATCTTCTGAACATCACGTTGCAAGTCATCCCAAATATCCCAGCGATGTCGTAGATTTGATGTTTTACCGGATTTCCGATACTCATGGTATACTCGTGAAATGGTCGTACGTGAAAATCCAAATTTCATTGCTATCTCGAAGATGCTATGCCCCATCTCCCGTGCGCCGACTATAACACCACGTTCAAACTCACTTAAATCTGTATAACCTGGCATTGTAGCAGCAGTAACCGATCTAA